TCTAAAGCAAATGCATCAGGGACATACAGAGAATGTAGGCTAGAATATCGCAAAATGGGGGGGAGGGGGAAGGCAAACAAACAAACTAAAAAAAAACAAAACAAAAACTCTTCCTGTTGTTCTTGAAGCTCTCCTTGACTCCTTTCTCCTCATTGCTGACTGCAGTCCTGAGTAACATGTGTCTGCCAGACCTCGGTGGCAGCTTTCTCAGACCCTTTCCTTGTGCTTCACATTAGCCAGCTTGACTGTTTCCTGCTCAGAGGCAGGTGGAGAAGGCTCATCATGACATCCAATCATCAGCTGATAGACTATCACTCCTGCAATGGCACCAAGGAAAGGAGCAACAATTGGGACCCACCACCACTGCCTACCAGTCCTGGAAAACAAACAAACAAAAATTAATGAGACAAGAACTGCAGCCTAGGCATTGATACCCCCATGTTTGGAGCTGGAACAATGTAAGACCTGGCTGTCCCCAAACATCCCCATTGACTTGCAAAAGACAACAGCCCTTGAGTGTCCACAGCAGCATCAAGGACAGATGGTGTCTTTCCTGCAAGCTCAAGTGACAAGCAATTCAAAAGAGCTACTTCTGGGACTTCCAGATTGTCTCTTCACCAAGATGGAAGAAAAGCTGTTACAGTGCCTACGTTAAGACGCCTTCACTTCCCTTCCACTGCCTGTGGCAGAGCATCCCTTGACAGCAGGAAGCCTGTACTGTTCATGACTCTCAATTATCTACAACAGCAACAAAAAAGGAAGTCCGACTAAGGCCTACTATCTTACTATCACCCAAAAATGATTATAGGCAATTCAAAAGAGCTCATGTTGAAGGTGAACCTGAACTTCTCATGGATCCTCCTAGGTATCTGTCTTGATAGCAAAGCTGGAAGCTGCCCTGCTTCTATAGCTTCTCAAGAAATTAGAGCAATTAATGTCTTTTAAAGATTTTTATACAATCCAAAAATATCTCCTGGATGCTAAGACTCTTTGTGATGCCAGAGGTACCATCTACTTGGGCTCATTATTCCCCCCCCTACCACCACCCTTTGGCCACTAGGCTTTTATTGGCAAGCACTTACCAGAACACTTCAGTGCCCCAGCCAGCAATGGCTGTGAAGAGACGAGGCCCAAAGTCTCTGGCAGGGTTGACAGCATAGCCAGAGTTGAAGCCCATGGAGGTTCCAATAACAAGGACAACGAAGCCAACTGTGAAAGCTTCCAACCCTATGGGGACAGGGTTGTTGTAGGGATCCACAATAGCCAAGACACAGACAATCAGGGAGGCAGTGCCAATGAACTGGGG